CGACAGGCACGTAATTACAACGAACCCGGTTCGACACGCGTTCGCCACGTAACCACAGTTCGATCGAAAATTTCGAGTCGAAACTCTCGTCCTGCAAGACTATCGGAAACGAACGGAACGGGGTAAACTGCACGGAACGAACGAGGCGAACTCGAAACTCCTCGTCGTATCGTTTTCATCCAATAATCAGGAAAAATGCTTAAACGTCCTCCGCATAGAGGCCGCCACTGGTACGGCGCGCTGCGCCAGCAACGAGATTAAACATCAGCGTTATCGGTCGTAACTCGGATGGATACTGGCATGGCGGCTGGTAAAGGCACCGTTCGACTAGCGAATTCGAGAAAAAACGGAGCTCGGTTACGTAAAAAGTCCGGAGCGAACTGCGTTTAACGAATGTAACAGCCTCAGCCCGCTTGAACTAGCCACTCTAATCAAGAAAGTGGTCTCCCGACGGTATCGCGCAACTCGCCGCGAAACCCGCTCTCGTTTCCTTTTCCCGTGATCAAAGTTCCTCTGATTGACGACGAATAAAGGAAATTATACGGCCAACTTTTATTTGCTACCGATCCCGGGCAAAAAGGGACGTCGTTACCGATCCTCGAGCCACGTCCGCAAATCCTTTCCGTGATTTCCACCGGTGGAAAGGTGCGGCGATGGAACCGGCTGGAAAAAGTCCGTTAACTGTTACGCGAACGAAAGAAAGGGTATCGAGTTTTCAGGTCGAAGCGGGAATTCGTTTGAAGAATCAGTGGACAGGATGCCGGATACGACGTATATGGCATTTTAAGGGCACGTTTCACGATCGTTCCGGAAGTCCAAAGCCAGAGTCGCTGGAATTTGTGCAGAATTTCGGACGAATTTTTTTCCCCACTCTCTCTGCTGGATCTTTGGATCTAGAGATTAGCCAGGCTCGATACGCGTAGCTGGAGTGTCTTACCTCCAAAGCCCGAGCCCGTCCCCAGGAAAGCATATTTAATTTAACATACAGTTGCAGCCGGCTTCTAATTACATTAAAGGATCAGCTTAACGAGAACAAATGCACGCTCGTACTGGACACAACGTTGCGCGGGAAAAAAGCCCGAGAAAATTTTATGATCGAGTCCACTTTTAAAGTTGAACAGGAGCATCCGGTACGGGTGTATAAAAATCCTTCATCCAACTTTGAAGCATCGTCCTCTATCCCTTTAAACCCTCCACACCCCTTCCTCCACTTCGCGCTATTTTTTCTCCCCCGTTTTCGTTCCTGGTCCCCCGGAAAATTACCAAATAAATCGAGAGATCGTGCATCGAAGGAGTCGGTGGTGTCATTCCCGCGGAACAATTGGTTCGCCCGTCGCCGATTCCTGCCGCAGAATCGAGCAATCAAGTTGCAAATCATGCGGCCCCCTCGGATCGTTATCAGCGATCGCGCCGCCTCTACGGATCGCGAATCTAACCCTCGTGCATCACACTCGGCAGAGAATGAATCTGCCAGGCTGGCCGGGTTCGCGGTGTAACAACGTTGCACGCCGACTCGGGACGAAAAGTACGTCCATTAAAACAAACGTTAATTCCCATGGCGGAACCCGTAACGACTCGCGCTGCGGCCGTTACGTAAAGCTGCGCGGACCTGTACCTACATACGTTTCGTACGACTGAAACAGGCGTACGGTTCATGAGGATACATAACGCCGAATTTGGGTTAACTCCTGACGCTGCGCTTCGGACAAGGAATACAGGGAATACACGCGATGGTTAATTTTGCGAATTTTGAATCACTCCGAGGACCAAGAGTGTCTTCGAACAATATTATTCCCATCCCCGTGTATTTTTATTTATTTCCACCTTGTTCTACCTCTCCTCGGGTAACACGTTTCACGGTATTTTTATTCCATGTCCTTTTTCTACGGTATTTTGTCTTTTTTTTTTTTATCTCGCCGCTTTTTGGTTTCCGAGTTTCCAAAGTTCATTCCTTCGTACACTCGTAACGTTATTCTTGACGGTGCTTCTTTTTTCCATTTCCGTGGCTGAGTTTCTTGATGCCCTTGCACTACTTCTTCTTTGCTTTCGCGTTTCTTTTTTTTTTTCTTATTTTTCCTGCTGGGGAATTTCTCATTTCTTGGGAAAGTTTCGCGTTCTGTCGCTTTCAGAATTCTCTCCTTTAGTCCCAATTTCATCGTAGCAGAGTGTAGTAGGTGGTAGCGGAAAGCTCTCGAGTTGATAAATTATTTGCCGCGACTGATCTCGGATGGACACTGACCACGAGAGTAGTCGAAGCCGCAAGAAAATCTCTAGAATCGTCCGCGATAGTCAAGTAAGTCGGCAAGAAGGATTGTGGTAGAAGTGACCACCGTGCAAATGTTTTCCGCAAAGGAATATCTACTTGGTACTCTGGAGCATCGTTGGATAGAACTCTATGAAACGATAAATTATTTTCTACCATGGGTGATGGTGTCCATAGTGAGAGAATATCGTTTGGATCAGATAGACAGCCAGAAGACAGTTGGTAGCGTGAATCATTTCGATAGTAATGCTAAACGGTCGATAAAAAATTAATAAATCAACAGGTGTTATTAATGTTTACCGAAATTTCTGTCACTGCTAAAGTCGTATGTACGAGCGACTTGATAAATTATTTTCTGTCATCAGTGAAGGTGTCCATAGTGAGAGAATATCGTCTGGATCAGACAGACAGCCAGAAGAGAGTTGGTAGCGTGAATCATTTCGATAGTAATACTAAACAGTCGATAAATAATTAATAAATCAACAGGTGTTATTAATGATTAACGAAATTCCTGTCACTGTCAAAGTCGTACGTAGGAGCGTCTTAACAAGCAGATTGACAGAAATCTGAGATGACGAGGGTCCGAAATCCCAGTTAGGGTCGAATGAAATATAGCTGGATCTTGATTCATCCCCCACCGAGAAAGGTAGAATGATACATACGGTCCAGCTTGTCGCTTCATCAATGGACGACCGCCACTTCATAGTTTAATTTATGATCTCGGTGTATCATAGGGGTTGCTACATATTTACCTCGCTATTTACCTCTCACCACAACAGAGTCTTTCGACGAGCGATACATTTCAATCGCATTCCATTGCGGGATCCAACGAAAACTTCGATACAAGTCCAACCTACTTACACGGTAACTACTTCACCTTCCATCCGCAGCTTTCATCCCCTCTATCTGAAATCGTTCAAGAAGCTTTACTTTTAGCCCCTGCCCAAGGTGAAACGTTGTTACATCGGCTGACTGTACGGGAATTGAAGGATCCCCGGCGAAACTCAAAGAGGCGGGCACGAGGAAAGGGAGACAGTGTCCGGGACGACTAAAGGGAGAATTATAGAAGGCTTTAAATATTTATCAAGTCGCGGGCCAGTCTGCCGTCGGCGAGCTTTGACAAAGAACAAGAGGCTGCTAATGAATCCAGTCGGCCAGGGGTAATTCTTTGTTCCCGTCCCGCGTTTTTCTCCCGATACAAATGGAATTTAAGGCAAGAGCCAAGCGAAACTTTCCCATTCGATCTCCTTCGATTTCCCTCGATCTCCAGGCTGAAGGGCCCCTACAGATCGAACCCCATCTCGCTTCTTCGTCCAACGAGTTATTCCGTCATAACCGTTAGCGATGCTGGAAAATACAAATACAACGTATCTTTCCAGCTTCTCTCTTCCCATTCTTCGCGTTCTACGCCCTTCCGATCGAGGGCTTCGTTTCCTCCGGAAGCCGACCACTTCACCGTCGAGCTATCGATTACGTCGCGGGGTAAAAAACGCGACGAACGAATTCGAACGAACCAACGACGTTCGACGTTCGTACAAGGAGATTTCCAATTATCGGGAATAAGTCGGTGGAACGCTTGGAAAGCGAAATCTCGATGGAGTCCCATTGATTTCTACGAGGAAAAGGGGATGAAAAGAGGGACGAAAGGGGAGAAACTGAACGACGGAGGAGAAGAAGAAGAAGAAGCAACGCTGACGGAACGACTGTTCCGAAGCGTAGAATTTTTAATCTTGACGAAACATTCGTAACACGCGGGATTAGAGAAGAGAAAGAAGGAACGCCACCGGGTTGCGTTCGTGCTCTGCGAAAGATAATATCTGCCGCGCATACTTATCCCCGATGAGGGGATTCGCTCGCGCGGAATAGGGTGGGATTATTTATTGTCCTGACTCGACTCCGCTCGTGATAGTCCTCCTCTGCCGGCCGCGGTATAGGCTAACGTGATTATGCGATTTATCGTTTTGTTTGCCGATGACTGCGAAGAGACTAATAGCCTGGACGTTAATGGCAAATGGAAATCCCGCGCTGAAGATACGGGGGGGCTGGAGAGATAATTCTGACTCGGCGTACAGTATAAAAATACCACGGCGTCGTATTGTTCGAGCTTTCGTTTATTTCGCGACACAGGCAAAAGTTGCAAATTAAAAGTAAGATGCGCGTTGTTGCTTCTCAAAGAGATTTCTTTTTCTTTCCTTTACCCCCATCGCACTGAAGAGACGTACGAAGGAGGAATTGCACGGCTGGTTTGGTCACGGGATATTTCTCGAATCCAATCTGATCCGCAATTTCGAAATTTTGCACAGCTCCACCACCGCCAGATTGCACGCGTGTAATCGGGATTTTTAAATTCGTTACCGAGAGCGAGTTAAAAAATACAAAACGCATCTTGAGCACCAGTTTATTACGGACCAAGATGTCACAGCGCCAGCGAGAACAATTTATTTTCGCAATTTATTTTACTTCCGACCCACTCCGTATTTTAATTTATCCTTTATATCACGCCGTTGTTACGAGGCACAAATATTTGAATATGAACTTTTCGTCGAGTAACAAACGAAAAAATGTTTCCCCGCGTTCCTCGTAATTCATTTGCTCGCGATTCGGTGCTTGTTACCCCGGGTTACAACCGAGCCTCGTTACAAGCTACCACTTCCCGCATTTCCTCCTCCATTTTCTCTTGCCTCTCGCGAGAAGGATACGCGAAAACGTCGAATTCTTTGTCACAATTGTCACTTACCACGCTGCCAGATCGGCATGCTGGCCGGGTTGCTGTCCACCTCGCATTTCAAGCCGACGGACATCCCCTCGACGATCGGATTTCCAAAACCAGGTAAACGCGTTATCGCGAACGACGGAGTATCTGAAACAGGTATTAAGCAATTACTGTCAGTCTCGGTATCGATAGCCGCGTGTCGATCGCGCGTCAACGGCAGATAAGGAGAATCGCGGTCTTTGCGATTTTTCGCTCGAATTTTCTGCGAAACGCGGGGCCATGCCAGATTTCTAGCGATCCGCTTCCGCTCGACAATGGCTCCCGTCGATAACGCGAAGATATACGTTGCGGATAATAATTCAAAAACGATATCGCGGATAATAAATACTAATGAATATGCATATGGTAATTACGATGAATTAACGCGCGACTGGATATGATTAAACGTCGAAATGATCCTCTCTCGACAGCCTAACGACCCTCGAACTCGCTCATAACGACTCGCACCACCCACTCGTTCTTCGTTCAGACCCAAACACCATCGACCCGATAACGAGTCTTTGGAGCGATAAAGAATCGTCTGACCCGCGATGCTTGAAATTACACGCGCGTGCGCGTAGTCGCGTGACAACGCGCGAAACTGCGATATCGCGACGTTGGTAATTTTCGTAGAACGCGAGAAGATGGGACGGCGAGGAGCAGGGGGAAATAAAACTGCGAACGGGAAATTAGCTTCGGCTTAATTGCATTACTGCGAGGTGAATAATTAACAAAGCGACGCGTAAGGATTAATTAACCGAATATATTCGGAATTATGGCGGTTTCGCGGGGTCTGAACCAGAAAAGGATTTAGTACGGATTCTTCCACCCCGTACGGTATTTATATTTGCGCGATGGATTTTATTATCGTTTATTAAAATGCAGAACGAAACTGGAACGACAGACCCGTTCGATAAGACCCGAGCTTAGTGTCTTAACGGAAATTGCATAGTAATGAGGTATCGCGAAATTTCGCGTCGGGTAGCCTGGGACGTAGGCTTAAGGAACAAGATTTCAAACACGTTCCCCATAGAAGTAAATTCGACTTAGTTCTCGTTAGTGGAGCATAGAGTGGAAAGTCAATTACAGGTGAACCGCGTTGCAAAGATCTCGCATTGCAGCTGGTACACCGACGTAGCAAAGGGAAACTTTTACCATTCGCTTTCCAATCCCAGCAACGACATTATTCTGAGTCTTATTTTACCAACGGAACCGCGCACTTTGCATCGTCTATAGAAAAATAAAACAAACAGCAGCAGATAAATGTAACTTCCTACAACCTTAGGGGTGGTGCGGCCAACACGGACGCTTAGCTTTCCTCCGGTTCGAACACGATTCCAAGGAGTACAAAGGTACCGTAGTCACCTATATATTTTCCAGGCACTCGAGAATATTCTTTCGTCTTATTTGTCCCTTATAATCCCTCGCAAATATATTCCAAGCGAATACGACTGGAAAATTGGAAACATTTTCAGTGCGCTTAATAAATATAAAATTCAGGGCGAAAAAGTACTCGGTCTCGACGCAACGCGGAAAGTCCTCGATCGAAGCTCGATTAGCTCGTGAACGGTACTCCGCTGGGCTGGAAATCGGTCGCGTCGACAAAGGACAACAAAAAGGCCGAAGGACAAAAAAGGAATATCGAGCGGAACGAGAGGAAAAATCGTAGGACTCGGTAATAACCGAAACGAACGGAGGAAACGAGCCGCTGCACCGCGGACATCAAACCTACTAATCGGGAAAACGGAACTGCGCCTGTGACGAACGAGCCACCCCTTCGCCTCCTCTTTGTGGGGCGCGTCCCTGGCGCGCTACTAGCGTTCCTTCCGCGTCATTAACGACCGACCTCGAACTGGGTGACAGAATCGGGCCGTATCCAGAGAACGTGGTCGCACACGATCGCGCGAGTGCCCGCGCGTGTCTCTACGGGAAGGACACCTACATCCCCGTGTGTACGCTCTCGCACGCACACACGTGCACGCGGGATACGTGCGATGGAATCGAAAGCGTTCGACGAGCGAGCGAGCAAGCGGACCAACGAACGAACGCGTTTCGAGGCCGCGAGTAATTAACGAACAACGTAGGACAGTGAAGATTTTACGACTCACGGGTCGCGCGTACTCGTTAAAATCACCCCTGTCGCTGTTCCGCTCGCTCCTCGTCGCCCTTTTTCCTTCTCCCCGTCTTCGTTGCGCGCGGTGCGCCCGGTCGGATGGCTGACGATGGTCCCATCCGCAGCGGGGAACAGGCTGGCGCCTTCTCGCGTGAAATCAAAGCTTCCCGTGGCGCCGTCCGAGCGTTTGGTCGCGCGTTATATCGCGCTGCCTCGTTCGGTTCGTTAATATTTCAGCAGCGCGGCGACGCGAGGCCGTCGAGGAAGAGGGTGTCGAGGTCGCGAAATAAATTGGTGGTTCGGAAGGAAGCGGAGAAGGAGAAGAAGAAGGAGGAGGAGGAGGAGGAGGAGGTGGAGGTGACGAAGGGGGTGTGGTGGTTCGGAGGAGCCGGCTGCAAGAGGAATGGAGAAGGATCGCGCGGGAAGGGTGAGAAGAGGCTCCCAAACACGAGTAGAGAGAAGAGTGGTGGCGAGGAGGAGTAGGCGGTGAAAAAGCAAAGAGAGGGAAGGAGAGGGTGGCAAGGGAAAAAAGGAGCGAGAGGCTTTTCCTCGCTCCGACTACCGGATGGCTCCAAGTTATTCACTCGGCTATAATAGTGCGGTGCTGAGACAATGCAAGCTTAATGAAAGCCACCCCCGTCAGCCTCCCGACCCCTCTCGCTCTCTTCCTTCCTCCCACTTCCCATCCTCCCTCTTTCCGTCTGTTCTCCGAGAGTTCTCCGTCGCTCTCGCGTTCAGCCTGCACGTCTGGTGGCTCTTGCTCGACGCCAACGGGGGTAGCTCTGCCACCACTGCCGCCGCCGCTGTGTAGCCCCGGCGCAGTGGCGTAAACACCAAACAAAGCAAACAATGAGACACAGAAGTGTCCCACAGACCTCGATCGCTTAATGAGAACTTTAAAGCGCCTCCGCAAACTACCAGTCTGTCTGTTTCAGACAGGATCACCCGACCTACACAAAGCCAGCGAACGCGTACGTACACGACGTGCACAGAGGGTTTGGGAAATGTCTGGCGACAGATTATGGCTGGATTCTACTTCGTCGATTCGTAACGATCGCGGACAGCTTTCACGGATCGAATTCCGTTCTTCGCGCGATCGAAATGGAAATTCGCGAAAATTGTATTTCGCGGAGCTACCTCGTAACGACCGTAGACGCGATCGTTGCGAAATTTCAAAATTTCTCTCGGTTCTCGCCGAACCTCGGAGACTGCGGATCCAACGAGAACGATAAAACGCTCGCAGCGGATGTAACTCTTCATTAAATAATAGTCAGGCGTTTCCACGATTGACCCAGGTTACTTCTAAAGCATCCAGTGTGTACCCTGCACACAGGCGCGCGGCAACACGAGCTCGCAGTGGTTGCCTTACGTGTTCTCTCTCGCGTCCGACTCGTTTGCTCTGTGCCCGATAAATCGCACGTCCGGGACTCGTTCGAACGCGAAATTCCTGCTCTATTTCTCCGCGCCCTGTGTAATTCCCTTTACGCCGGTCATGAATTAACGCGAGACGAGAACGACGGCAGATTTTTGCACGATGGACGGTCGCCGGTCATCCAGCTGCCCCCTCCTGCCCTTCCTGCTCCTCCCTGCAACACCTTTCCAAAAGCAAGGGTACGAAGGGCGAGGAACGGAGCAGCGTCTTCAAAGAAATTTTTCCCGCCGTTGGCCGCGGCTGCTGGAACGCTCGTAAACCTTACACGGGCCGTTAAGCAAACCTATAGACCGGCACGGGGAAAAAGGGGGGTTTTTGCTTTCGGGGCACCGACGGTCGCCCCTGGACAGAGTTGCGTGCAGGCTACGTGAAAAAGAACCGACGTGCCGGTTCGACCGCGACTGCACCAGCCGCCTGTAATTTGTATCGCGAGATAGCTGTTGCCAGCGACCGTGCTGCGGTCAAAGGGAATTCCTCTGGCCTGGAATTTTAGATCGGAAAAAAAAGGAAGGAAAAATACGGGGAAAAAAGGAAGGAAAAAAGGAAAAATAGAGGAGACCGGAAAGGAAACAACATGGAAAGGGGCGGGGAAAAAAGAGAGCGGATCGAAACGAATCGAACGTGACCGTTGTTGTGCCTGTGGCTTCCGGTGTTTTATGATACGGCTGTGAAGCGGGGCTGTTTTTTGAGCCCCGGGATTTACAGTCACCTTTGTAATCAGTGTCTGCTTGGTAATGCAAAGGGATCCGGCGATTGTTCCTTTTCCGAGATTTTATTACGCTTCTCGTTGTCCCGGAGATTCGACGGGCGAAAAAGGGTGGACGAATATTTAGCTAACCGATCGATCGAAGGAATTTTATTCGGACAAACGCGGGAGGACGCGATGGAATTGACAAGTACGCGCTGGGCTACGACTTCGCTATTAACGAAACAATAGGCGAATGCAAATATTTGGCCGTCACACGTTCGCAGGGATGAACGCGCGGAAAGCCAGTGTCCCCGGATGGAAACTATCGCGAAACTCGTTTATCCGGGAAAAATCGTGACCCGGCTGTTGAACGATTCTTTGATGATCGAACGCTTTGCCGGATGCTGTGTCCAAGTAATGCCATGCGTATTAAGCGCGCCACCGGTCGCCATTCCTATCCGCTGTAGTTTTATTATTTTTAACAACGTTACGAAATCGATGTTGAAATAATTGGAGTTCGGTGGTTAACGATTTTCGAAAGGTTTTTCCGAAAATACGGACAATAGTTTTCGGTAATTCATCGTCGATACGAAAGGGGTCATGGATAGGGGTACAACGAATTGTTACGAAACGTTCGCGAATGATTGTTTATTTAAAATCGAAAACGCGTGTTTCATTCGATCCAGGCGATGGAGAGTAACGTTTTCTGTAGGACAGAGCTATCAAAGAGGAGATCGAAGTGAACTAGCATTCACACTGACACTCACACAGTCTGTAATCACCACGTATCGTCGAATTTGTTCGAAGAGGTGCGTAATCTGGTGTAAAAATAGTGTTAATCCTTGAAATACCGTTTCGGTTTTATTATAACTCAT